TCTGAGGTGAACCAGAGGAGCCTCCACACGCTTGTCCTTCAGTAGCCCGAGGCCAGTCCATGGCTGAGGTAGAACTGGCACTGCTGTGTGAGAGCCCTGCAGGTGCTGCTCTTGTGGGCTGGAGGCCAAACTGAAGGAAATCACTCAGTCTAAGAAAACTCTGGAAAACATAAAAAACACTGACAAGATGCCTCATCCAAGCACAAGATGCTGAAATCATATTAAGCCGTGCAATAAAATATATTATCAGCAACCTTTGAGAAACCTTATGCTCAGAACACACTGGGAAATGCGAATGACTCAGAAAATGACAGCAATCCTTAAAGATGATTCCATCCAGCATCAGCCAGAATGCTCACCAAGTTCACACATAGTCCAGAATTTCTATCTTCACTTCATTGTCACTCCCATCACAAAGCTTGAAGTCTTCCTCCTCCTCCTCACCACCCTCATCTCTCTGCAGGCTCATCTGCCAGCTGCTCTTTGACATCCTCACTGCTTGTTGTATTTGCCAAGGGGACAGGGGAATGGACAGGACATAAACAACGGCTTTGAAATCTGTCTCTAACAGAACGCTCAGCTGCCAGTGCAATACCTTTGCACATTCAATCACAGAGCTGGCAGAACATCTGCCATAAGGGGGTAAGGCTCCTTATGGAAAATGTAGATGGATTCCTAAGGGAAGGAAAGAAGGAAAGGATTCATATGCATTTTATGGTGTAACTGGAGCTTTCCCATGAACCTGCAAAAATGAGGTTTGTGCTCCAGATTTCAGAAGAGAAGGGATTCAGCCAGGTGAGCAATGGGTTGGTATAACTTTGGCCCAAACTCCCTTATCACGTACTGGTATCATAAAAGACACTCATGACACCACTGAGGAAAGAACATTTAAATATAAAAACCCTTCCAAGCTGCATTCAGTGGCACACTGACAGAGGTGCTCCACCCTGGCTGGCAGAAAAACCTCAGGCACCTGGTCCTGATCTGTATGAAATGTATTTGAGCACTAAAGGCTTCACCCTCTTCATTTGTCCTCCTGCGTCTACTCAGTGGTACAGGGGCAAAGCGAGAGGGAAATGCAGGTTCCAGTTCAATCTAAAAATTCCTTTTCCTTTAGAAAGTGCTGATGAAGGCCAACAGTGAGAAAATGAAAGATGTTTCTTGTAGGAGATGTCACAGGTTGTTCTGGAAAGACAAACTGGGGCCAGGTGGTCACAGGCCAGAGGAACACATGGCATTGTCTCCTGCAACCCTGCCCTTGGTTCCAGTTCACTGGAAGTGGCAGGAGGTCAGCTCCAGTGTGGGGGCTCCCTCACCCTGGCCCTGGCCCCCTCCAGGGTTGGGGTCCCCACCCTCCAGCCCCTCTGCACGGAGGATCTCCACATGCGCAGCAGAATCTCCACATGCACACACAACCCCTGTTCTCCTCCCTGTGTCTGCAGCATGGCCCCAATGTCTCACACCAGCCCAGGGTTTTCCACACACATGAACCCGAATTTTGGGGCAGCTCCAGCACAGCCACTGACCCCACTGTGAGGTACCAGGGCCAGGCTCTGCCTTGGTGTGTGAATGGGAGCATGTGGAGGATGACGCTTGTGGGCAGTTGTGCTCCTTGCCCTGCCCTGCTTGGAGCTGGAGTTCCCCAGCCTGGTCCAGCCCGGTGTCTGCCCAAAAACCCGTGTGGAATCACTTCCCACGTGGCTTTATTTTGCCCCAGTCAGTTCCTGAGCGATGATCAGCAACAGGTCAGGATTGGTTTGCGTTCACCTGTTGCACCTGCAACTGTCTAAGAGCTGGTTGGTATGAGCAGGGACACTGATGGTAACATGGGGATATCCAGAGGACAGGTCAGGATTGGTGCTGTCCTGCCTGGGACCACATGGGCAATGAGGGAAAACAACCCCAGAGCCAACAGGCTCAGAGGGGAGAGACTGGGCCCTGGCTGTCAACAGCTTCCCTGGATATCAGGGTGTCACGGGTCAAGGGACACACACACTGCCCATAGATGCTCCTTCCTGCCTGACCTTAAGGTTAGTGACAAAATCCTGTCACGACAAACACAAGGAGAACCAGAATCACTCAGTTACAAGCAAGCCTTTAATTGATCTTTAAAAAGTGTTTTTTCTTAGGTTCAGAACATGAAATCCGACTGGGTGAGGTTGGCAATCTGGGGCAGGCTCCGATATTCCGAGTTCCAGAAGGCCACATACTGGGACCTCAGGTCCTGCTTCACAGAGTTCTTGTTCATCTTGTTGTTGATTTCCAAGTAGTAAGTGCTCTTGCTGCTGTAGGCTGGCCAGGAAACGGGCACGTCTGAATTCCCCTTGTTGGGATCACTGGGAAAAAGAGACATAAAAGTTCAGTTTTATCATGGAAGCTTGTGGATACAGCTTTAAGTGAGCACACACAGAGTGTTTGGCACTGGGACAAGCAATAGGAATTCTGCCTGCTGGGAGTGACTTGCCAACCTGCAGTCCCCTCCATCAGTCCCCACTGGCATCATCCCTGGCTACATGCAGGGACTTAAGTCCTGTATGAACACCAGGATTCAGGAAGGAATCTCATCATTAAGTATAAGCAGAATTCACAAGCTCTGAAAATGCTCCTTCTGTCCTCTGGTGTACTACGGATGAGGAGGACCCAGAGCAAACTCCACCACTGGGAGACACAGAACCCAGCTCACAACAGAAACACAGAGAACACCCTGCTTTGGGGAATGATCCTGAGAAGTTACTGGGCAAAGACAGCAGGCTGAAGGGTTGCAGCAAAGCACAAATGTGGAACAGGAATCACTCACCCAGTCCTGGCAAAGTTGGTCCAGTAAGCGATCATGGCCTTGGAGACAGTCCTGTGCTTGGGCAGGTAGCCCAGGGGGGTGGAAAAAGGCTTCCCAAAGACGTACTGCAGGTCATCAGCGTGGTCTGCCCCAACCCAGCTGGGGTAGACGGGCATGCGGGACGGCTGGGAGAACAAGTAGCTGTATGTCTTGGCACTCCTGGGGAAACAAAGAGACTGGCTAAGCAGCTGTGAGGGGAGAGCAGAGCTCTCTTAACCTGCTCCTCAGCCCCTTCTGCTGGGAACGCAGCATTTTGGCCCCCCAGTCCAGCTTAGTCTTCCTACCAAGGCTGAGCTGCTCACCCGGCGTTCTGCACGTGCAGATTCAGGGCCCACTGTGTGGGAACCAGGAAGATGTAGTCAGTCATCAGCTCCACCACTGTCTTCTTCATGACCTCCTGCGTCGGCTTCTCGTCCCAGCTCTGGGTGTAGATACTGTACGTGGCATTGGCTCCAGCCTCGCCCCTGTCCCTGGTCAGTCCTTTGATCAAATTGTAGACCTGGTCCCTGAAAAGACAAGCCATATCAACTAGTTACTGACCAGCAGCTTCCAGTGGGGCAGGTCTATTGCCTGGCTCTTTTTTTTGAAGGCTCTGGACTCAGCAACACAAGTCCTGGGCATGCAGGCTTGGAGTGACACCCTGTTTTGAAGATTGAGCTCTGTCCACTCATGTCTAAGTGCTCAGAGTGTGGGAGCTACATTAAAGAGAAGATTCCTCCTGTTGAGGGTTTCCAGAGCCTCTCTCACTTACGCAGTGATTTTCCTCAGTGGGGCATTGATGGCAGGTAAGTCCACTCCAGCAAAGAAGTGCCCGTCCATGTTATTGACCCCAACCAGGTAGTCAATGTCGGCAGCGTTGGCAAAGAGATTCTCTGGCATGTCTGGGAGGAAATCTCCATCGACCACAGGAGTGATGGCCAGGGTGTGCACCAGGGCAGCTGCAGTGGGAGACAAACCCAGAGTCTGTTAGGAGGTGAGAACAGACAGGTGTGTGGTCTGGCATATCCCAAGAGTCAAAGAGCTGTGGAAAACTTAGGCTGAGGTGGGCTGTGCTCATCCAGCGCAACGTGCACCTGCCTATGGAAGGGTGACTGCAAGATCTGGCATTATTGCCCTCCTTCTGAAGGACACAAGCACTGCTTCAATGCTCCTGGAAATCACTCCAGTGTCCTGCCAGAGGTCTGGGAACCCCTGGGTGGATGGTGGATCACAGTGCAGGCTGGGGGACTTACTGGGCAGGTTGGTCAGCTGCAGGTGGTAGGCGAGTGTCAAAGCTTTGGGGTCAGAGACACGAAGGCAGTTGGCCAAGACGGTGGTGTTGTCTGTGGAGCAGCCCAGCTTTTCTCCGAGCTGCAGGAGAAGAGAGAAAGAAACCTCCTAGCATTACCTCCCAAAGGCAGAGGTTATTGTTAGAGAGGCAGAGGGGTGGATGTGTTTTAATCTTCAAAGCATCATGTTTCCAAAGTTCTGTTGGACACAGCTCCTAGTTATGCTCACCTCTAGGGAATCACTTTTTTGTTTTTTCTAGTCACTCAGGCAAGACTTAAATATTACCTTTTTAGCCCAGAAGAGTGGGTCCCTCTGGATGGCCCAGCTGCAGACCCCAACACCGCTCTGGCTGATGGCTCTCTTGAACAGGCCCTTGTTCTTTGGGGACAAGCTCTGGGGTGCAGAATGGAAACAACAGGGTTTCAGGTAAAAATTCACAAAGACACCACGGTGTGCCAGACCCCAATGATCACCTCACAGCTTGTGATCCCAGCCTGGGGAGGAAAGTGTCACAGTGCAAAGGGGTCCCTCTCCCCCATTTACACAGAAGTGGCTCCAGTGGGGAGCGACAGAGACAACTCACCTGCAGGGACACACTGACAGCACCAGCTGATTCCCCAAAGATGGTGATGTTTTCTGGGTCACCCCCAAAGGCCTT